GGGGGGTATTTTTTTCCTAATTTATTTTGAAGCCTCAGCATGGAGGACTAGGTATCCCCAGGAGACTGGAAGTCAGACCTCCAGCTTCAAATCCTTCGGTCCTCACCTTGAGGAAGTTGTTATACTTCCCTGAACTTTACTTTGTTCATCTATAAACTCCTTTCAACTTATGTGCTAAAAATAGGACTCAGTCTGGCCAGTGTGGCTCAGTGGTTGAGCATCAGCCTAGGATCCAGGAGATCGCAGTTCGATTACCAGTCAGGGCACATGCCCAGGTTGCAGGCTCGATCCCCAGTTGGGGGCGTGCAGGAGGCAGCCGATCAATGACTCTCTCATCATTGATGTTTCTAGCTCTCTCCCTCTCCCTTCCTCCCTCTGAAATCAATAAAATATAATTTTTGTAAAAAAGCAACAAAACAGCCAAGCCGGCATGGCTCAGTGTTTGAGCATTGACCTAGGATCCAAGAAATCGCAGTTGGATTCCCGGTCAGGGCACAAGCCCTGTTTCGGGCTTGACTCCCAGTAGGGGGCGTGCAGGAGGCAGCCAGTAAGTGACTCATCATTGATGTTTCTCTCTCTCTCCCTCTCCCTTCCTCTCTCTGAAATCAATAAAGACATATTTTAAAAAACAAACAAATGAACAAAAAACCAGGACTCGTCGTAGAACCCATTTCAGAGGGTTGTCTGTGGCCCAGGGGTGATGATGCATAGCAAGGGCCTAGTGCCAAGCCAGACATAGGTAAATGCTCCATAAATACCACCCTTTATTATCATAGTAACCTTTTAACACTGTTTTTGCTGCTTAGATTGGTTTATCCTTGTGAAGTTTACAGTTTTCATTTCTAGGTTTCACCCCCTCACACACCCCTCCCTGAAATAGTTTTCATTTGTCCATGTGGCCACGAGGCAGCCTGTTTCCCGGCATCTCTTCACTTCCACTTGGCAAGTTGTTAACACCACGGCGCTCAGGCATCCAGGTGGATTTAGGCATCAGCTCGGTCTCTCTGGGTAAAATAATAGAGCAGCTACCAGTTGTAAGTTGAATGAACCATAGGTCAAAGACAGTTGAATATTGAGTTTCATATGGTTTGCCCTAATACTAAGACCTTTCTCTAGATTATCTCAGGAAGTTCTTGCACCGATCCTGAGGGGCCCTGTCATTCCCCAGGGAGATAGGAACCTAGGCTGAAGCAAGCAAATCTCACCTGGCTATGACCCCAGACCCCAGCAGGTTCTTTGAAAAGCCCTTGCTCAGGTCTCTGGTTTTTGTACAACTCCTGGAGGCTATTTCCAGCTCTCCTTCACCTGCCATAAAGATGATAAAGCAGCTTTGAGTTGTTTCAACTGGAACCAGAGTCCTTTTGTCTCCTACCTGCCCAAGGCAGTTCCTGTAGAATCTGCTAGTTAACTCTTTTTAACAATGTCTCCTCCTTATTAGCATAAGTATACTAAATTACTAGGCGGAGCACATGCTTGGTTACCTGGCATTTATTTGCCCCTCAGCAGGTGGAGGTTGAGGTTTTTGCTTTGTATCTTTTTAGGTGCATGTTTAATGAAGGGCTTCCTTTGAGGTCCTCAAGCCAGACCTTCTAAAGAAGCACTGTGTATTTCCTCACATTTTTTAGTTGGTTACCGGCATTGGGGTTCATGGGTTCCCCAAGATAGAAGTCGAGAGGAAACCCCAGAGAAATTTCCAGACAGATTTCATTAAGCTTATGCTTGAGCACAAGGCAGGCAGCACAGAGGAAAGGCAGGTCCTCAGTGAATTTGCTCAGGGCTGGCTCTGCTTGGCTGTTTTATAAGCTGGGGGTAAAGCAGGCTTGCAGAAGACACGGGCCTTTTGGAAAAAGAGCAGGCTTGTGGGATTTTCCACATCAGGGTAGGAGAAGCAAGCGGTTAAAAAGGAGATAAAATTTTGCATTTTTAAAAAGCAGGGAGTGGAGAGGTGGTGACATTCTTGTGGTCAGTGTATCCAGTGTTCCTTCTGGCCACCTGGCCTTAACTTGGCTTCCTGGCCACCAGGGATATTTTCACTCGTGAGCCCAAGTCCCTATACTGTTACAAGTTGACATCTAAAACTTAGAACTTTCCACTACAAGCTTAAATATTTGCAAAGTATGTCATTCCTGGCACATCTAAATACTAATTTAAAAAGCAAAAAAACAAAAACCCTCTTATGCACTTAACTGAAGTCCGTGAAACATAAAGACCACTTGATACCAACCATCAGCCTTCTGGAAAAGCTCTTCTTTAACAGGTGGAAATTTTATATCATTTCTTTTTCTCCTTGATTTTGTTTTTGTTTTGTTTTTCTGTTTCCCCCACAGAATTTTATCACAAATGTGTGTCTATCTTTTAACACTTAAACATTTTATGAACACCTATGATGCTGCTATGCAGGAAAGAATGTAGAGTAGGTAATCAAATTTCATTTTTAAAAAGTTCCTTTGATAGCATGTTCATAAACCTTGATTGGATCCAGAGTTTTTTAATTGATACGATTGATTAATGCAGTATAACGTTCTGCAATGATTATTAAGTAAAAAGTAACAATTCTTTAGGAATGAATATCTGAATGAGAAGAGTGGGGCTGTTCTTTCAATACTCAAGACAAATATTACAATTTGCTAGAATGAGAGTTTAGCATCAGTTCTGTTGCAAGTTTTGGTTTTTATCTGGAAGTATTGAGAACCAGTTCAAACAGTTGGGAAGTGGTCCTGGGGCCTTAGCTTGGGCCCAGTTATATCTGCCTCTGTGAACTTTCCTTACAGGAAAACTTAATCGGCGCCCTCCTGGCAATTTTCGGGCACCTTGTGGTCAGCATTGCGCTTAACCTCCAGGTGAGTTTCAGCCGCCAACACTGTATGGGGCAGAGGCACAGCCGATAAGCCCGGGTGTCTGGTGCAGGCCCCGCTGCCTCCATTCTTTGTGATGTTGCCCACTCATCCCTGGACAGGGCCTGGGACAATACCCTGTGGGTCTTTCCAGAATCTCTTGGTTCTTTGCCCCAACTTGACCCACCTATCATCCTTCAACTCTGATGACCAACGCTCTCCATTACTTAAAAATCTCTGGCATGCAGGTGTAACTGGGAAGCTTGGTGGCTGCACTGGGTTGTGGTGTGGTGGTTAATGCCCCTGGGGGCAGCCTTCAGCCAGTGGGGGATGGAATCAGTGGGTTAATGCTCCAGGCTTCCATCCTCGGGTGGGATGGCTCTGTGGTGAGTTCACAGGGTTCTCAGAGGGTCCACAGTGGGACTGAGCCCCACTTGCTTCAGGCACTAACTCACCCATGAGTACCCTCCTCATTGGCTCTTCCCCCTTCCCGGTCTCACTTTCCACTCCCTTACTAGTGCTTCCTGGAATCACCTCCCAAATCACCACCTCCCTGCTCCCAAGACCTTGTTTCAGGGACTGCTTCTGGGAAACCCAGGCTAAGACTTGACAGACATCTGTGGACAGAATAATCCTGCAGCAGGGCGGCCAACTCCCTTTCCCTGGTGGTGGCATGTACGTCTCGGCTCCCGTGTACACATATGTGTGGGCATGTTTCTGAGGAGCATGATCTCTTAGCTGTTTGTCTGGTTCATGCCTCTTCTTTTTACAGACCAGCGTCTCTGCTTGCATATCTACTCCTCTGGAGCCCCACTCATGATCCTACCCAAAAGGCAGTGTGGCCTTTTTAGTGTCCCTTAGTCACTGCCTCAGTGTCTGTGCCCCAAATTCACACTTCCAGAGCAAAGGATATCAGCCATAGTTGGGCCAAGTATCCACCCGAGGGAGGGCAGGGCCCACTGATACCCACAGGGCTGCCCAGCAGAGCTGCGGACACTCCTACAGAAGAGGGTGTAGCCGAACAGGCACCCCGAACATGGGGACTCCTGGGCATTGCAGTCAGAGGGAGAAGGTCAGCCTGAGGCCAGGCTAAAGCGGGAGTCCTGAGACCACGGCTCCCACCCCAGACTGCACACACCTGTGATGTGGGTTAGAAATGCACATTTCCAGGCTTCACCCACACCTCCTCTGCTTTACGTACTGTTCTAGAAATACTGTCACATCCGGCTGGCGGGCTCCAAGGACCCCCGGGCCTATTTCAAGACCAAGACATGGTGGCTGGGCCTGTTCCTGATGCTGCTGGGCGAGCTCGGAGTGTTTGCCTCCTATGCCTTCGCTCCACTCTCACTGATCGTGCCTCTCAGCGCAGTCTCCGTGATAGGTAAGACCGGGGTCCCCCCATCCCTCCCTGGGACTCAGCTGCCTGTGTGACCACAGTGTCACCACCAGGATCAAAGATGCACGTTAAACCTATCAGCTTTTGCCTTGATAATAAAAGCTAGCACTTAACAAAGGGCTTCGTACACTCCAGGTACTGCTGTAAGCCCTTTACAGATATTAATTTTTCTAATCCTCCTGGGGGAAGGAAGATAAACCTTAACCTATTCACCCTAACATCATAAGATCATTAAGCTTTTATAGAGTTCAGATATCTTACACGTCTAAGAAATTCAGCGTGTTCTCTGGTCTTTTTTACTTCAACTGATATCACTTTAAAAACATCATTAACTTTCTCACCTGCCATTTTTCTACGACATCTGTAATCATTGACCCAGTGTCTCAGAACATTTGAACCAACTAAAAGACAAAGGAGCTTTAAAATCCGTGAGGTCACGAGTAAAATAGAAAATAATTCTTTCCTTCTTAAATAAAAGATGTTAGTAGCCTATTGGTCAATAGCTTTTTTGTACATAGGCGCAAGGACAATGAACTTGCTTTGAAATGCTTCCTTCCGTCTGGCTGGCAAGCAGTGCACGTTGCCTAGGAGCTCCTCCCTGCTCTCCAAGAAAAAGTCATATTCTAATCTAATCCTGCCAGGAGTTAAGAGGGCCTCTTCTACACCAGGGATGACATATGCATGGCAGCTGCAGGCCCTCCTGCACCCAAGGCAGACGTCGTTAATCAGTCATGGCATTCCTTCCTAAGAGGCTCGATGGGCCCTCAGCGTTCTCAGAGCTTCAGGCCGCCACTGCCAGCTACTAGGAGTTGACAAAGGAGTGGAAACCTATTTGCTTTTGCTGACCCTATGATAAGACCCTCGTTTTCTTGACCAGGCTTGGTAAACCAGCAGCCCGCAACATGAATGAGGTCCTCAAACTTGGTCTTTCCCTCACAGTATCAGACTCTGTAAGACAAAGAGATAGAGCCCTGGCCTCCCACAGTCGTGGATTCAAGTCTAGCCTTTGCCTACCAGCTGCATGATCTTGAGTGGGTCCCCTACCTCTCTTAGCCTCAGTGTCCCCATTTTTCAAATGAGAACAAATAGCAACCACACCTCTAAGGGTAAACATACCAGAAATTACTTGAGTAAATTGCCTGTTGCCCGGCAAGTGCTCAACACACAGTGCTCCTGGGCTTGTAGGAAATCCTCAGGAAGGCTGGGAGAGGAACCTCCCTTTCCGAGATGGAATATCAGGGAAACCAGAAGGGACTGAGCCCTTGGGAGCCCGAGTGAGAGGACAGGAAGCAGAAGCTCCAGCGCAGATGGGCCAACCCAAAGGGCATGGGCGCAGGGACTCCTTTTGACTGAAGGCGGCCTCAAGTCTCCTTTCCTGTGTTTTTCCTTTCATAGCTAGCGCCATCATAGGAATCATTTTCATCAAAGAAAAATGGAAACCTAAGGACTTTCTGAGTAAGTTCACTGATTTGAACCCCTGCTGTTCATTGTGCTTGTGCTTTTTCTCATTATAAAACCAGCACGCCCCAATTTAGAGATCGCCTGTTCCCAGCTCCCCAGAGCGGTTCTATATTCCACTCCCATCTTGAGAGCTGGGTTTTGAAGTCAGTGGTTCCCAAGCCGTTCAGTCAATATGTGTTGAGCATGTACCGTTGGGATTTTAGAAAGCCTAATAAAAGGCACCCACTTTCCCTAACTGCGTTCTAAAGCAGTGGGAAATAAACACAGAAGTCAAACACAGGAGACCGGCAGCTGCACTTTATTACCAATAAAAGCTAAATTGGAGCATGCAGCTTAGGCGTGCAGCCAAATGGACTTTCTCCCCATTTCCCAGCTAGACCTTGGGCCAGTCTCCCAAGAAAGCGTTTGGTTTTACAGAATGGAACCCTTACCCAGAATTACTGCCTCACGTAGTCTGGGGCAGAAAAGGAAGGAAAAAGAACAAAGCCTCAGTGTGTAAATTCTTTTGATAGATTGGCTCCACTCAGTTGAGAAATGCAGACAGTGGGGCAAGAGGCAGACGTGTCGGTCCATGGGAGGCCCCCCCCACATGGAAACCCAAGGAGTGGGGAAGACATGTTCCCCCAAAATGCCTGCTCTGTTCTAGGTGCCAGGGATATAACAGTAGGACAGATGGGGTTCCTGCTCTCATGGAAATTACAGCCTAATATGTGTGTGTGTTGGGGGTAGGGCATACAATAAACAAGTGAACAACTAATAAACAAAATAATTCTAAATCTTAGTGAGTGCTTCAGAGAAAATGGAATGCTTCTTGATGAGGCATAGGGGAAATGGGGGATACATTACCTAGACTGGTCAGGGTTAGACTCTCTGAAGAGGTGATCGTTGAGCCCAAACCTAATACTAAGGAGACTACTATGCCAAGATCTGTGAGCAGAGTGTTCCATGTAGAGGGAACAGCAGGTACAAAGGCCCTGGGGCAGGAATAAGCTTGGTGTGTCCAGTATCAGTAAGGCCAGTGTAGCTGGAGAGATGAGTAAAGGGGGAAGGACATGAGAGCAGGGAGGCATGGAGGACTGGGTGGTGCAAGGCTTTATAAGCTGTGCTAAGGAGTTCAGGAGTAACACGATGGTGGCCCAGGCTCTATCCCAGGAGACTTTGAATCTCATCTGGGATCTGGGCATTTGTATTCTTATCAAGCTCCCCAGAGTGAAGTATATTTGCCTGCAACATGCTTTGAAACGTATCAAAAAAATAAAATGGCTTGAGGGATGGATGGAGAGATTAAGAGAACAGATTGATATATGATAACACAAGTATAATAAAATTTCAATTTAGAATCTAGGTGGTGGAAGAGTGCATACTGACTATACAACTCTTTCAACTTTTCTGTGCATCTGAAAATTTTTTAAAAGAAGATGTCAGGGAGAAGAAACTCCCAAGATGCTGCAGAAACATAAGGAGGTTTGGGAACCACTGTTCTGAATCTTTGGTGTAGCATTCTTGCAAGATGGGGCCAGGAGGCTGGAAAAGGAAAGACTCTTACACTGAAAAAAAGCAAAAGTACTACTTAGCAAACAAATGACACCAAGAAGACCAACAGACTTATAGTGATTTGCAGTAGGCCTGATGGGGGGGGCAGTTCTGCTTTATGTTCCTTCCAGGGTCATTCCAGGTCCTGGACTGAGAGGCACACTGGTCCAGGCAGTGCCCCACATGGACTGGAAAACCATGGCTCCTCTGGGCATCTGTGGTTGTGTGGGCACATGGCTTAGTGAGCAGAGCACGGGCTAGATTGCAGTCCACCTCACATCTAGCTGTACATGGCTGCCCTGCCTAAAGCGCCATTAAATTCAGCAAACATTTACCCAGCGCCACCTGTGCTGGATACCACAGGCTTGGAAATGAGTAAGACCTGTCCCTGCCTGAAAGAAACTTAAGACAGCAGGCTGTGTATCTCAGCATAGAACTTACTCTGTGGAGTTTAACCGTGGTTCATTCATTCATGGAACAGTTGCTCAACTGGATTTTGAGCACCTTATGAGGCCTCGAATGAAAATAAAAGACATTGAATGCAGTACAGTATCACATTTTCTAGAGACAGCAGGAACAAATAGGTGTAGTTAGTTCTATGCCAGAAAAACCCAGAGGCCTGCGGTCACCACATGTGCAGCTCAGAACTCACAGCCCTTTGCACTTGCCTGGGCCTGGGCTTTTCACCAGCTTCCCAGGGTTCAACTGGATTGCGACGGGACCCTGGGGAAGAGTCACGAGACTCGTCCTTTCCCCTTGAGCACGCCTGCTGGGCCACTTACAGTCTCTGACGGGCCTGTGGGTTAGACTATTGATAGTATTTAGAAAGCTTCTTTGGGAGTAGGTTAAAAAGCCAGTTGAGAAAGGATGAGGTAATTTTTAAAGGTACGTGGTTGGCTCTGAAGGTTTGCTTTTGAGGTTTTGTTTTATTTGATTTTTTTATCTTGCCCATAAAGCGATTCTAGCTTTAAAATATTCCCTGTAGCCCAGTCGGGTGTGGCTCAGAGGTTGAGCATCGACCTAGGATCCAGGAGATCGTGGTTCGATTCCCGGTCCGGGCACATGCCAGGGTTGTGGGCTCCATCCCCAGTCGGGGGCGTGCAGGAGGCAGCCGATCAAGGACTCTCTCATCATGGATGTTTCTATCTCTCTCTCCCCCTCTCCTTCCCTCTCTCTGAAATCAATAAAGATATATTTAAAAAAATAAAAAAATAAAATATTCCCTGTAAAATGTATGTTAAAACCACAGCGCAACACCAGAATGGCCAAAATGAAGAGAAAACATGTAGTTCTACTCTTGTCCTCCGCTAGTGGGAGTATAAATTGGTTCAGCCACTTTGGAAAACCATTTGACAGTAACTACTAAACGGAGCATTCACATACCAGGGATGCTAATCCTAGTTTTATACCCAGCAGAAATACACAGGTATGTTTTCCAAATGACATGTACGAGAATGTTCACAGCACCGTGTGTGTTATAGCCCGAGCCTGGAGACCACTTACGTGCCCATCAGCAGTAGCATGGGTAAACTGTGTCCCATGAGCACAGTGGACCGCTGCCCAGCGGCGAGAATGAGGGACGTACCACTGCGCCTGCGAGACAGGCGCATCTCACGGGCATCATCTTGCGCGAGCACCTTTGTGTAAAGAGTAACCCAGGCAAATTCTTAGTGCTGGCGACATCAAAGTGGTACCCTGGGCGTGGGATCTAGCGATTGGGAGCAGACACAGAGGGGATTTGGCGGTCCTGCTAATGTTCCCTTTCTTTTTTAAAAATATATCTTTATTGATTTCAGAGAGAGGAAGGGAGAGGGAGAGGGAGAGGGAGA